TTCCAGGGAAAGTCTACCTTCTCCCACAGCGTCTGGTCCCTCCTGAGTGGGATGTGGAGTGGAAAATTTATAGAATATGTCTGGGGGAGTGGCAGGAGATGAGACAGAAGTGGTGTGGGGGCCATGTTGCCAAGGGCCGTAAGTGCCATGCTAAAGGATTTTGAAATTACCCTGTAGCCCTTAAGTAGAAACAGATCTTTTAGGTTATAGTCACCTCCATCCTCAATAAGATCACTGGACTAGCATCAAAAGATCTGGCTTTGGTTTGGCAATATCAAAAGTTTTTTCACACATCTGTATGCCCAAAGGTAAGCCGGTTCAGAGTAGGTGTTCCATAAGTGCTTGTTGTTAAAGTCAATTGCAGGGTTATTTCTAAGTTCTTTTTTTTTTTAAGAAGGGTTCTCACCATGTTGGTCAGGCTGGTCTTGAACTCCTGACCTCAGGTGATCTGCCCGCCTTGGCCTCCAAAGTGCTTGGATTACAGGCATGAGCCACCACGCCCGGCCTCTAAGTTCTTTTTTAGAGACTGTCTAGCTCTGTCACCCAGGCGGCAGTGTAGAAGCACAGTCATAGCTCACTGTAGCCTCAAACTCCAGATTCAAGTGATCCTCCTGCCTTAGCCTCCAGAGTAGCATGTCGTATGTATCCCGGCTAACTTCTTCTTTTTGTTTTTTTAAATTTCCTCCTCCTCGTCCTCCTTCCTGGCTAACTTCTTATTCGTATTATTTTGTGTAGAGATAGGTTCTCAAAATGTCACCCAGACTGATCTCTAATTCCTGGCCTTACAAGACCCTCTCAGTTCAGCCTTCCAATAGTCCTAAGTTCTTTTTTTTTTTTTTTTTGAGATGGGGTCTAGCTCTGTAGCCCAGGCTGGAGTGCAGTGGCACAATCTCAGCTAACTGCTGCAACCTGCCCCTCCAGCGTTCAAGCAATTCTCCTGCCTCAGCCTCCTGAGTAGCTGGGATTACAGATGCCCACCACCACGGCCAGCTAATTTTTTTCTGCATTTTTTTAGTAGAGACAGGGTTTCACTGGTGTTGGCCAGGCTGGTCTCAAATTCCTGATCTCCTGATCCCCCTGCCTCGGCCTCCCAAAGTGCTGGGATTACAAGTGTGAGCCACCATGCCTGGCCTCCAACAGTCCTAAATTCTAAGAGCCAATCAACCCAAGTGCTCAGCAACTGAGGGATGTTTGAGTGTGCATGGATATGTTTATTTCTGTCCTGCTTTCACTGCAGTGGCAAGCTCTGAAATACTCACCTAAAGAAGCATTACACTGCCTTAAAAACATTGCTTACAAAGAGTTTATAACATGGAAAATGTCTTCCGTTGTAAAGGAAAAAAAGCAGCACACAATTGAAATGAGTCATATCACGTTGTCTAAAAGCAAGCAAAGAAAATCTTCTCCCCAGCAAAGGCTGGCAGGGCAGGGAGGCCCAGGCTAACAGCAGCCAGTCGTTCTCCCCTCCCTTATGCTCCTGTTCTCTATTTCCCAACTTTGATTTTTTTTTTTTTTTTTTTTTTTTTTTTGAGACAGGGTTTCACCAAGTTGGTTAGACTGGTCTCGAACTCCTGACCTCAGGTAATCCACCTGCCTTGGCCTTCCATATTGCTGGGATTACAGGCGTGAGCCACCACGCCTGGCCCCAACTTTGATTTTTTTTAAAACAGATTCTCACTCTCTCGTCCAGGCTGGAGTGCAGTAGTGAGATCTCGGCTCACTGCAACCTCCACCTCCAAGATTCCAGTGACTCTCATGCCTCAGCCTCCGGAGCAGCTGGTGATCACAGGTGCCTGCCATTACAACCAGCTAGTTTTTGTATTTTTCGTAGAGAAGGGGTTTTACCATGTTGGCTAGGCTGGTCTCTAACTCCTGACCTCAAGTGATCCACCCACCTCGGCCTCCCAGAGCTTGGATTACAGGCATGAGCCACCACGTCCAGCCTATTTTCCAACTTCTGAAAAATGTGTGCACATTACTAATAAAGTGAAGTGTACACTTTTTGTTTCAAAATGACCTTGAGTAAGTAAGGAGGAGGTTGCTCTCAGCCCAGCTTCTGCTCCTCCCCTGCTGCCCCACCTCATTGCCCAGAGATGCCCTCTGGGGCTGAGCCAGGTTTTATTTGCCCCAGGGCCCCGAAGTCCTGGCCTTCTCCACCCTAAACCACAGGGCGCTCAACAAAGGATTTGCAATCCAGTAGCTGCACCTGCTCCCAACTAGAAATGCTGCCTTCAGGCAGCCAGGGCCTCCCCCAAGGCCTCAGAGGGTTAACTCTGCCCGCCACCAGGAATTCCCAGAAAGGACTCACGGAGGAATTTCCCAGACGTGCAGACAGACAGATAGACAGACACCTCAGGCAGCCCTCGACACTAAGCACAGATGTTTGCCTGCAGGTGATGTGCTGGTAGCCAACACAGGCACACAACTTTGCGGTGAGAGGTAGCACAGAGCAACAACAGAGAAAAGACCCACCTGGGCAGGCTGGGGCTGGCATGAGGAAGGGACTGGGAGGGGGCCCCAGAGTGGGTCAGCAGATGGAGTCTGCAGGCGCAGAAGTTCCTACTGTTGTCTCTGTCTGAATGGCACAGTGCCTGCAACTCTCCCTAGGCATAGCAGGCATGGCAGCGGCTCCAGCAGGGGTCAGGGCAGCCTGGCTGTGAGTAGCGGGGCTGCAGTCTGGGCTTGAGCTGTTAGCAAGTTTGTTGTCCTTGTGGCTTGTCAATATTCCCTACTGGCCTGGCGGCTCTCCAGGTAGTGATTTTATCTTAAACCCACCCACTCTTCCTTTCTCGGTACCCATCACAACACCCAGCTCATCACAACACTCAGCATCTAGGGCTGCTCCAGTAGGACTGATGGTTAACCCCCATATGGATAGGGGAGTGGATAGAGCAGTGATGGGATCAAGACCCGAAGTGAGAATGCTGGCGACAGCGCCAAATCAGCGAAAGAGGGCTCCAGGTCCCGTCGGTGCCCAGAATTTCCCTGCACCCTCTGCACCCGGCTTGCTCCAGACCTAGACGCAGGCGAGAGCTGACGTGGCCCCGCCAGACTGGGCCTAGCGAGCCCGAACTTGCCCGCCCCAAGCAGCTGCAGCGTGGGACCTCCTATGTTCCTGTTCAGTCCCAGTGGTCAGAGAAAGCAGGGAATCCGGCCCAAAGCTGTCTCCTCCAGGAGGCAACCGGGGCCACCCTTTCTGGAGAGCTACCAGCATCTCTCCCCTCTCTCGCCCCTCTGCTGGTTTTTCAGAGCAGTTACGTCCAGCATAAGTTAAGTTGCTTCACTGAACAGTGAGTGATCTCACTCACTCCACAGACATTTACTGACCGTCTACTATACGTCCTAGATGCCACGCCAGGCGCTGGCAACAGGATAATGAACAAAACAAAAACCCCTATCCTCGTGGAACTTTGACCCTATGGAAAGTGAGAACTGGGATGCAGTACTCTCGCCGGGGCCACGTGGGAGGTCGACACCCAGGTGGGGTTCCCCTAGGTGAGCAAAAGGCGCGTGAGGTGCCGCGCTGGGACCAGTCGGCTGGTGGACTTCGGCCTGGGCAGGAGGGGCTGGCCGCACCCCGTACTAACGCTTGGCTGGGCACGTCGCTTGGGGCAGGTGCGCGAGGCAGTGGGGGTGGCGCTGGCCGTGCGCAAAACCGGGCCGTGACCCGGCCCGGGGTTACAGGCCTTGGTGGTCTGTTAAGTATTTATCGTAAATGTAGCGAATAGGGCCTCCAGCGGCCTGAGCGCACGTGGGGGTGCAGTGGGGAGCCGGCTGGTCCCTCCCCAGCTCCAGGCTCCTCCCCCGCGGGGGTCAGCGCCAGACTTGCCGCGGCGTCCGGGCCCCGCGTAATTACAGGGGCTGTAGCCAGGCCTGGCCGTAAAAGAGGAGGATGAAACGGCCTGGGAACCCGGGAAGCTGGGCGGGAGCTGGCAGGGGCACCGGGTCCGCGGCTTCCTGCGATGCGCAGCCGCAGGGAAGAGCCAGCTAGGGATGCGCACACACACAACACCAACCCAGCGCGCACACAGCCACACAACCAAACACGGAAACCACCAAACGCACTGAGACGCACAGCATTCTGCTCTCCCGCTCCAGGCTCACTCCCGAGCCTAATCAAACACCTGCCCGCCCTTTCCACCCCAGAAGCTGACACCCGCCCGCCAAGCCCTCTCTAGACTGCAGCAGATCCCGGCCGGGAGAAGAGCCCCGAGAGGCAAATTCCAGCGGGTTTGTTTACATGGCGCGGGGGAGGGGGCCGAGCCGGGTACTGGGGCCCTACTGACTGGGAGCCCCAGCTCAGACTGGGCCAGTCCCAGCTGTGCAGCTTGAGGACTGCGCACAAACAGCCAGCCGTCCCACCCCACCCGCGCTGCACGCCGGTACGTGTCTCCCCTCCTCTTCACACGCTGTTCACAAACATTAGCATACGTATGTCAAAGAGTTTCACACGCTTCCACACACGCGGCTGTGATACTACTCACAAATGCTTTCACACTTGCGCGCCATCACACGTATTTCATGTGTGGTTACAGCTTGTCACCCTTCATGCCCAGATTCTCACCGTCCATATTCAAGAGCCCGTTCACACAGTGTAGGCGTGTGTTGTCTCACACACACACACACGCACACACACACACACACACGCACACACACACACACACAGGTCATTAGTGTCCTTTGGCGAATCTAAAACAAGAACGGATCCCTCGCGAGCCCAGGGTCCCGCGAGTGGCTCCTGCGCGCAGGCACTGATGGGATGGACAGAAGCGCCCTTAGCCCCGGCCGCACACGTTACACACTCGATCACACACAGCGTCGCACTTTATTCCCGGCATCCTGGCGATGACACAATCTCCAGAACAAAGACAACATTGACAAACCCAACAAAAACAAACAGCCGCGTGTGTGTGGGGAGGAGCAGTCGAGCGCAGAGTCCGGGAAGGGGGTGGGGGAAGAGGAGAGTGTGGGAACGCGGGCGCCCAAGCCTGGGTGTGCGAGGCTTGGAAAGGTGCTGGACACGTCGACAACCTCGCACCCTGCAAGGTCCGCGCGCCACGCAGCAAAGCCGGGTCCCGTACCCCCGCGTTCGCACACACGCACTTGCGAGTTCTCCCCTTCTCCCGCACGCGACTGCGCCCAGGGACACAGGCCCACCACCCGGACAGGCTCACAAAGCTCCACGCAGACCCACAAGTGAGTGAACACACAGCTCTGAGCAGATCTGCCGGGGGCAGAGGAGCGCGCCTCGCTCTCTACGGCACCCCGGGCCTCCTAGCCTCTCCTGCCCGCCCCTCCTCCACCTCCCCAGCCCCCAAGCCCCGGGGCAGCCGCGCGCCGGGCGGGGCGAGGGCGGGGCGGGGTGTCGGGCGGCGCCGGCCCAAAAAGGCGGAGTCGCTAGGCTAAGGGGCCAGATCTTTGAGCCCAGCGCTGATTGCGCCTCGGAGAAAGCCAGCGGGAACCCGGACCCCGAGGAGCCCCGCGTCCCCGCCCGGCCTGCCCAGGCCCCGCGCTATGGAGTTCCTCTGGGCCCCTCTCTTGGGTCTCTGCTGCAGTCTGGCCGCTGCTGATCGCCACACCGTCTTCTGGAACAGTTCAAATCCCAAGTAAGCCTCGAGTATCCCGCTGGCAGCCTGGGCGCCCGGCTGGCACTGCCCTCCCCACCGGGATAACTGTTCTGGCCAACCCCTGAGCTGAGCCTAGGGGAGATGACCGAGGTAGGAGGGACGCTGTAGATTTTCCTCCCCTCACTTCTCCCACATAACTGGGAGCACCCCACCCCGGGCCAGGAACCTGCTGGTGTCTACTTGCATAGGCTTACATCTGCCCTGCCCTTCCTTCTCTTTGACACTCTTATTACTCTGAAGTGAGGCACCCATCCTGGGCAGTTTCTACCTCGAGCATAGACCTGGCCCCTGGCAGCCAGGGCCCTTGTTCTAGGCCCCCCCACCGTGAAAGCCTCGACTCCCCTCCTTGTGTGTCCCTTGGGCATCTGCCCACACTGACAGGTACCTGGTGTGACATCAAGAGTGCTCAGAATGCTCAAGGTAACCCAGAAGTACCTCTTAGGAAAGACCTGGGCTGTAGGCATTCATATGCATTCATCCTGTATTTAAAGCAAACCTGGAAAGCCCCCGCTAGGGGTCTTTTGGGGTGGCGTGAGTGAGGCACATGCTGTGTATGGGTAGGTTGAGGGAATCACCTGTTTATGGGGCTCTCAAGTAGTAAAACTGAAGAGCTGGGGAGAGGGTGATCATGGGAAAGCTTCAGAAGGAACGGAAGGGGTTAAAGGGGTTACAGAAGGCTCTGGGCAGGAAGGAGTTAATTTCTCCTGGGCAGGTTTAGGGCTGTGAGGCAAATGGTACTGGGAGGAAGACTGTCGGCCCCTTTGTTCTTGCCCTTGAGTTTTCTGAAGTTATGGGAACAATATTTGTGGGAATACTGGAGACGGTGGGGGGGGACGGGGGAGGAGGACTGGGTAGCTTGGGACCACAAAAGCCACCCACCAGCTTAGCACCCTCAGCCCTATCGAGCCTGCGCCCCACTCCCCTTGAGAAATATGTTGTGCCAGCTTCCTCTGACCCCTGTGGCATCGCCTGGTGAGGCAGTCTGTTGTCTGTAGCTTGTTGGGATGGGGGAGAGAACAGCCAGCTGCCAACCCCAGAGGGCAATGCCCTCCTGCCTGTGGGCACCGGGGAGGCCCAGCCAGCCCTCCATCACCCGCTGCCTGCTGTCTGCGCTCTGCCTCCTAGACCCGATACATCTCACCCTAGTATGGCAGAGAGCAAAGTCCCTGTTTATGCCCATGCCAGGTGTTGACTGAAGGAGGAGGAGGGGACAGGAAGCCATGAGTAGGGAGGGGGGGACCCTGGCCTTTTCCGTTCCCAAGCTCCCAGGTTTCCTCTCTTTCAGGAAGAAGCCTTTTCCTTACCCACCTCCCCGCCTTCCCTGACGCCGGTGCCCCCCTTTCCCACATAGGGAGCAACATCAGATGAAGGCTAAGTAGAGCAGACTGTACCCCCAGGAGAGGGGGCTGGTGGGTGACCCTCTGGCCACACGCGCGCGCGCACACACACACACACACACACACACACTATCATACCCAGGACTAAAGAGACGCCAGTCCAGAGTAGAGTCCCCAGGCAGCCAGGCTGAGCCCAGCGTGGGGCAAATATGAGGCTACAATGAACTGGGTAGGTGTGAGACTGGCATGGGTGACTCAGGCCAGTGGGCATCAGCCCTGGGATCTCCGGGCCTCAGGCGGGGCAGCATGCTGAGAAAGGCGCCTCCCTCATGCTGGAGGGCAGGCCCCTCATTCCAACCTGCCAGCTCCCTTTGTCCAGAGGACAGTGTTGGGGGCAAGTGGGTGCCGTGCCCTCCTGGGGTCCTGGGGGCTGTCCACATTTGACAAGGTAAATTTTCACAGGTTCTCATGAGTGGTGGGGCGGGTAGCAGAGGTGGATGAGGAATGAGTCAGTGCCCGTCACGGGAATGAGGGAAAGACGCCAGGCCCAGAGCTGAAATACCTGTTCCGAAATGGCTTCTATGTTTATCTCTCCAGAGAGGAATTTTAAAAGCCTCTCTCTGCTCCTCTCTCTCTTTTCCCCGGGGTGGGGGAGGGGCCTGGTAAGCCCAGTTTGGACGCTGGCATGCTGCTGCAAAGCCTGGCCTCTCAGGGGTCATGCTGACTGGGCAGTGGGTGCCCACCTCAGAGTCCCCTCCGCCTGATGCCTTCCTCGCCCTCCCCTCGGTGGACAGGGCTTTCGCTTCGAAGCAAGTTGGCACTAACTCTGCTGAGTCTCTAGCTGGCAGTGCCTGGGGGAATTAGAGAAACTGGCCAGCTTGGGGGGGTGGGGAGAAGCACTTTTCCCCCTACTGGGACCCCACCCAGGCTGGAGCCAGGTGTCTGGAGCTGGTGGGGAGGGGCTGGTGGGCAGTCAGGCTGGAGCCGGCGGGCCGGGGGAATGAACTAGGAGGGAGCTGGCTCCACCTTGGAGGAGGGGAGGCAAGAGGCCGTCTGAAGCCCAGAGCTCCAGCATTTCATCTGGAGGGAGGTGGAACTGTGGCTTTTGGAGATAAAGGGACAGGGGTGTTTTGGGGTGCACTGAGAAGGGGAAAGGAGACCAGTGCATAGCTTTGAGTATCTAGAAAGGGAGATTTGAGGGGGCTGATTGAATGGATGAGAGTGATTTAACTTAAAGGATTAGGGGCTTGGTATTCATGAAGGGTTAAGGATGGTAAGAAAAAAAAAGAAAAAAAAAAGGACTAGGGGCATTACCCGTGGGCCGGGGTACACAAGCTTCACTTTTGAGGAAAAGTGAAGCTGGGAAGTGTGAGATCTACTCGGGGGGTCCGGGAAACATGAGAGGAGTAAGGAGAGTAAAGACACAGACGTGCTGGGGGCTCGGGGCTAGCATGGCAAAGAGAAGGGGTTCCCTGGATCCTGACTGCAGAAGGGACTGGTAGGGTCTCAGGTTGAGGTCCAAGAGCATTTAAAAGGAGCAAGTGGTAGAACAGATTTGGGGAATATGTATGGGTAGAAGAGAATGATAAGTGAGCTACAGAAACAGGTAGAAGTAAATATCAGGGTAAATATCGTGGGGGTTATGGAAAATGCTTTGGTACCTGAGAGCTACTGAGCAGATGCTATTCGAAGGATCAACAGGAGACAGCGATGGTACAGGGCGGGGGTGGTGGGGGAGGAATGTTTAGAGATGGCAGAGAGAAACGTAAGGCATCAAGATAAGTACATATTACGAGTTGAGACTTCGGAAAAGTCTCCTGGGCCCAGTGTGAAAGGTGAGAGGTCATGTAAACAAACATTCGGAGGCCCAAGGATCTGGCTTGGCTTCTGAATGACCACCGGCTTCTTCCCCTGCATGTGTCCCCAGGTTCCGGAATGAGGACTACACCATACACGTGCAGCTAAATGACTACGTGGACATCATTTGTCCCCACTACGAGGATCACTCTGTAGCAGATGCTGCCATGGAGCGCTACATCCTGTACCTGGTGGAGCGTGAGGAGTACCAGCTGTGCCAGCCCCACTCCAAGGACCAGGTCCGCTGGCAGTGCAACCGGCCCAATGCCAAGCATGGCCCAGAGAAGCTGTCTGAGAAGTTCCAGCGCTTCACACCTTTCACCCTGGGCAAGGAGTTCAAAGAAGGACACAGCTACTACTACATCTGTGAGTGCCCATGAGGGGACAATGTTTGTGTTCTTTCTGCCACCACACACACACTTGGGTACATGCTTGGTGCAGAGTCCAGCAGCAGAGGACCATTTCAATTCTATTGAAATAGAATTCCAATCCTGAATTCTATTTTCATTCATCCACATCACAAATGTGAGCGTCTACTGTGTGCTGGGCACTCTGCTTGGCACGTGGGCACAGAGATAAATAGAACACTACAGAGCCCCTGTCCTCAAGGAAGCTGGAAAGAAACACACATAGGTTAACAGACCCTTAAAGCAGTGTACTACAGTAGACATGAACACAGGGGCCTTGGGAAAATGACCTGGGCATCTGCCAGGCTATGGGGCTCAGAAAAGGCTCAGTGGGAAAGATGATCCTAGAGCTTAGGACAAGCAGAGGAGCTGGCCAGGCATGAAGGCACACGTACAAAGGAAGCATGACATCTTCAGGGAACTTCCTATGGTTCAGCCTGGCTGAAGTGGGAGGGACACAGGAAGTGAGAAGAGGTGAACAGGACAGACCATGGGGGGCCTAAAAGGTGATAAGGAGTTTGGACGTTAACCTGAGGGCTCTCATCACTGATGGGTCTTGTTTTATTTTTTGTGACAGAGTTTCCCTCTTGTCCAGGCTGGAGTACAATGGTGGGATCTCTGCTCACTGCAACTTCCGCCTCCCGGATTCAAGCGATTCTCCTGCCTCAGCCTCCCAAGTAGCCGGGATTACAGGCACTCGCCACCATGTCCAGCTAATTTTGTATTTTTAGTAGAGACGGGATTTCACCATCTTGGTCAGGCTGGTCTCAAACTCCTGACCTCAAGTGATCCACCCACCTCGGCATCCCAAAGTGCTAGGATTACAAGTGTGAGCCACCACACCCAGCCTGATGGATTTTAAAAGTTATGAGATCACCCATCACTTTGGGAAGCCAAGGTCTCCTGAGGTTCAAGACCAGCCTGGCCAACGTGGCAAAACCTTGACTCTACTAAAAAAACAGAAATATTAGCTGGGCGTGGTGGCGCACACCTGTAATCCCAGCTATTCAAGAGGCTGAGGCAGGAGGATCACTTGAACACAGGAGGTGTGAGGTCGCAGTGAGCCGAGATCACGCCACTACATTCCAGCCTGAGTGACAGAGCGAGACTCTGTCTCAAAAAAAAAAAAAAGTTATGAGATGGGCTTTGTATAAAATGGATCTAGGACTCTTGTCAGTGGGGCCTAGGCAGGAATAGTGTTGTTTTGTTTTGTTGTGAGACAGAGTCTCACTCTGTCACCCAGGCTGGAGTGCAGTGGTGTGATCTCGGCTCATTGCAACCTCCGCCTCCCAGGTTCAAGCCATTCTTCTGCCTCAGCCTCCCAATTAGCTGGAACACACCGCCATACCTGGCTAATTTTTGTACTTTTAGTAGAAACGGGATTTCACCATATTGGCTAGGCTGGTCTTGAACTCCTGACTTCATGCTGTGTGTCTGTCCTGATTTCTACAACTGGAGTTTTTTCATACGATGTTCTTTGTATCAAAATAAAGCAATGTGTTTTTTTCCCACATTGGCCTCCTAAAGTGCTGGGATTTCAGGTGTAAGCCACCGTACCCAGCCTAGGAGTAGTATTAAATGGCCCAGGCAAGAGGAACATATGGTGAAGCCCTCACGCTTCAGACTCGAAGGAGTGAAGGATGAAATGTGGGGCGGGGACAGTGTCTATGTTCTTATGTCACCACTGCCAAACCTGACGGTTGTTTCCAAAGAATGGCAGATTGGGCTGAACTATAGGCAGGAAGTTAGCAAAAACTAAGGAGGGTAAGAATCAAGGTTAGAGGAAAGAGTAAAATGAAAATGAGTAGGGATCTGAGAAAGCAGGGTGAGGGGCATTTGGACTTATATTTTCTTCCAGCAAAGGTTTCTTCCTTAACCCCCTGTGGGCTTATCTTGCAGCCAAACCCATCCACCAGCAGGAAGACCGCTGCTTGAGGCTGAAGGTGACTGTCAATGGCAAAATCAGTGAGTGTCAGGGCCCTGTGGGCCTCCTTCCTCCATCTCTATGCTGGGTGCAGTCTAGTGAACTGGGATGGTATAGAAGTCTTGCAGCCTAGCCACTCAAACTCACAGCCCTCTGCCTCTTTGATACAGTACCTGATCTATTACCACTCTTGTCTTTCAGCTCACAGTCCTGAAGCCCATGACAATCCACAGGAGAAGAAACTTGCAGCAGGTAGGTAGCTGGAGCAAATTGGGCCTGGGGCACAGGAAGAGGTCTGCTTGAAGAGGTTGGGTACAGGAAGTGGCTCCTTTACCAGGCAGAGGCTGAGGGAACCCTGTTGGGCTGAGGGCCAGTGTAAATCCTGGGGCCATTCACATTGGGGGCCTTTGCCCTCTTGCCTTGCAGATGACCCAGAGGTGCGGGTTCTACATAGTATCGGTCACAGTGCTGCCCCACGCCTCTTCCCACTTGCCTGGACTGTGCTGCTCCTGCCACTTCTGCTGCTGCAAACCCCATGATGAAGGTGTATGCCACACGTGGCCTTAAGGATTGGAACTGGGCTGAAGAGAGGGACAGGCACTCCAAACCTGTCCTGGGGCCACTTTGAAAGCCCCCAGCCCTGGGAACCACTCCCACCACATGCACAAGCTGTCACCCAGCAGCCTCAAAACGGGTCAGTATTAAGGGTTTCAACTGGAAGGAGGTCGACCAGCCCGGCACTGCCATCCCCACCTTCACCTCGGATGGAGAAAGAAGTGGAGACTGTCCTTTCCCACCATTCCTGCCTTTAAGCCAAAGAAACAAGCTGTGCAGACATGGTCCCCTGAGGCACAGTGGGAGCTGAGCTGGAAGGGGCCACATGGATGGGCAAAGCTTGGCAAAGATGCCCCCTCCAGGAGAGAGTCAGGATGCCCAGATTAACTGACTGAAGGAAAAGCAAGAAACAGTTTCCTGCTTGGGAGCCAGGTACAGGAGAGGCAGCATGCTTGGGCTGACCCAGCATCTCCCAGCCAAGACCTCATCTGTGGAGCAGCCACAGAGAGGTTTGTAGCCAGGTACTGCATTCTCTCTCATCCTGGGGCAGCACTCCCCAGAGCTGTGCCAGCAGGGGGGCTGTGCCAACCTGTTCTTAGAGTGTAGCTGTAAGGGCAGTGCCCATGTGTACAGTCTGCCTAGAGTGTAGCCTAAAGGGCAGGGCCCACATGTACAGTATCTGTATATAAGTTGCTGTGTGTCTGTCCTGATTTCTACAACTGGAGTTTTTTTATACAATGTTCTTTGTCTCAAAATAAAGCAATGTGTTTTTTCCGGACATGCTTTTCTGCCACTCCATATTAAAGCTTATGACCATTGAGTCCCTGCTAAGTACTAGGCTCTGTGCTACAACAGTAGCAACTGGGTTTGAAATTCTTTCTCCGAAGAATGCATGCCCCTCACCAGGCTAAAAGGGTGGGGTGTTTCCTCCTCTGAGGGTTGTCCAAGACCAGAGTGCTCCTGACAGCAGTCTCTCGAGTTCTCAGCTGCACTCCACTCTGGAAGTTCTTCCTGTCCAACCTCTACCCGACTCCCACCCCCTCACCCCCCTCACCGCAGGGCTTTGGCATGCCACGGTTCAGGTACTCATGCTGTTTGTATGAGTCAGGGAAGCTGGGAACGCCAGCTGAGGCATGCGGCCCCGCCTCACAGCCACACCAGCAGAGACGGGTGGGAGGCTGGGAGGGAAAGTTGCCAGCAGCAAGTGGGTTGGACCGGGGGCTCAGTGATAGAGGCGTCAGTGGATTGGCCACGTCATATAAAATTGACCTGACCTTGTAGCCCGAGAGGAAGGGCAAAAGAGGAAGGCTTGGTGATTCTCGGCAATGTCTGTTATTTTGAGAAAAGGCTTCGGCAACAAACTTCAGAAAAAAACCTCCCAAACCCTGGGCAACTGGGGTTCTGATGTGGAGCTCTGGATGGAAAGCGTGCTGAAGTCTGGTAGAATCTAGCAAGCTTTTGTTTGCAGGTCCACCGCCGAAGGCGCACAGGCCTGTAGGAACACGAGCGTTGAGACGGGTCTAGATGATCCAAGGGGTAGGCACAGTGTGAGGAGCGGCAGGTATCGGGGACACATCCGCGGAGCCCTAGGAACGGCACCGACCGGGACCTGGAAGAGGGCTGGACCAGGGCACTGGGCAGGCGCTCGGAGGGGCAGAGCGCGAGTTCCGGTTCGGTGGCGGAGGGGGCGGGGCTTAGCGCAGTTTCCGGAGGGACGGCCCGAGCGCGCGGGGGCGGAGCCGAGGGCGCGGGGCGGGGCTCCAGCGCCGCAGGTCTAGGTCGCGGTAGGTCCCGGCCACCGCAGGCTGGCGGCCGGCGCTTGGCGCGGGATCCGACTCTGGTCGTGATGGAGGCGGGCGGCTTGCTCGACTCGTTCATTTACGGAGCATGCGTGGTCTTCACTCTCGGCATGTTCTCCGCCGGCCTGTGAGAGCGCGGCGGGACTGGGCTGGGGAGGACTAGAAAGTCAGGAAGGGAGAGAGGGCAGAGACGTGGCCACAGCACCTGGCTCGTCTGGAACCCGGGATCAAAGTGGGATCGGGTCGAGGGGACCAGGGTACAAGGGCGAGGCTGGTCACTAGGCCTGAGGGAGAAGGCAGGATAGCTGGGGGGGCGGGGGGGGGGGGGGGCTGCGGTGGTCCGGGAAGGATGACAGGCATTGGGCATCCCCACCAAACACTTTGCTTCTCCCTTCTCACCCTTCACCCCTCCCTTCGGGGCCCCATTACAGCTCAGACCTCAGGCACATGCGAATGACCCGGAGTGTGGACAACGTCCAGTTCCTGCCCTTTCTCACCACGGAAGTCAAGTGAGGGAGCGACGGCTGCGGCGGTGGGAAAGGCTATCAGAGGGAGGTGGGGGCGGGGTAGGAGCATGAGTGAAAGAGCCCCTTTGGGTCCTCCTCTCACAGTGACCTCTTTGAGCCATGTCCCTCTCCACCCTGCAGCAACCTGGGCTGGCTGAGTTATGGGGCCTTGAAGGGAGACGGAATCCTCATCGTCGTCAATGCAGTGGGCGCCGCACTTCAGACACTGTATATCTTGGCGTATCTGCATTACTGCCCTCGGAAGGTAGAGGCCCCACCTTGGACCCACCTCTCTGCTGCACGCTCTGCCTTGCTGGCAGAGTAAACACTGCTTCCTAGAAGACTAACAGCTGGCACTGCCACTCTTTCCAGGAAGGCCCCTCCAGCCTTGCAGGTCTCCTTCCTCTGTGAAGCCAGCCTTCTGAGATGCACACATTGTCCCCATTTAGGCAAGGCTGGTAGCTGTATCTAGCCTGAGATGCTTATGCTGCCAGCAAGCTAGGGGGAAAGGGCTTTTGTCTCTGATATTTTTTTTCAGAGCCAGGGCCTGTGGGTGAGAATGAGATGATTAGCTCTGCTTCCCTGCTCAATCGCACAAGCATTTATGAAGTTCCTACTGTGTGTGCCAAGCACACAGAAAGAAACACATCTTTCCCTGCCCTAGAAGTCTCCGGAATTGTGGGTGTATAAGACTTTCCTATCAAGTTGCTGGCGGGAAAGATGCTGTGACAGTGCAGTGCTGGAGGCCTAAACAGTTTGGCTTCCCCATTGGAGCATGGGAAAAGGCAGGATGAATTAATTCTAGCAGGGAAGTCCGAGTGCACATCTGGAAGTAAGGCTACTTTCTCCCCTGCAGCGTGTTGTGCTCCTTCAGACTGCAACCCTGCTAGGGGTCCTTCTCCTGGGTTATGGCTACTTTTGGCTCCTGGTACCCGACCCTGAGGGCCGGCTCCAGCAGCTGGGCCTCTTCTGCAGTGTCTTCACCATCAGCATGTACCTCTCACCCCTGGCTGACTTGGTGAGTGGGGGTGTCCAAGGAGGTAGAAGAGGTAAGAGTCAGGCTCTTATAGCCAAATACTATGCCTTACAGTCCAGAGGAAGGGGAGATCCAAACCCTGCAAGGAGACAAGGCTGTAGAGGTGGGCAAGTGGGAGGCAGGAAAGATGGTGACAGATCAAGGAGGGTGTCTGACCTTTTTCCAGAGAAAATTCTTAGGCAAGTGAAAGCTTTACTATGTGCTTGGCCCAGGAGAGTCTTTCATTCTTTCCCACAGGCTAAGGTCATTCAGACTAAATCAACCCAGTGTCTCTCCTACCCACTCACCATTGCTACCCTTCTCACCTCTGCCTCCTGGTGCCTCTATGGGTTTCAGCTCAGAGATCCCTACATCATGGTAAGCAGAAAAAGGGATGGGGGCCGGGCGCGGTGGCTCAAGCCTGTAATCCCAGCACTTTGGGAGGCCGAGGCGGGTGGATCACGAGGTCAAGAGATCGAGACCATCCTGGGCAACACGGTGAAACCCCGTCTCTACTAAAAATACAAAAAATTAGCTGGGCATGGTGGCGCGTGCCTGTAATCCCAGCTACTCAGGAGGCTGAGGCAGGAGAATTGCCTGAACCCAGGAGGCGGAGGTTGCGGTGAGCCGAGATCGCGCCATTGCACTCCAGCCTGGGTAACTACTGTCTTGCTCCTGAGGGTACTTCCAGAAAAGCCAGAAGCGGATAAAGCTGGTGATGATTCCTGGAAAACTGGCTCCTCTCCTCATAGCAGTTCTTGTGATTTCAGGTGTCCAACTTTCCAGGAATCATCACCAGCTTTATCCGCTTCTGGCTTTTCTGGAAGTACCCTCAGGAGCAAGACAGGAACTATCGGCTCCTGCAAACCTGAGGCTGCTCACCTGACCCCTGGGCACCTAAGTGCCAACCTGAACCAAAGAGAGCTCCTTGTTTCAGCTGGGCCTGCTGTCCAGCTTCCCAGGTGCAATGGGTTGTGGGAACAAGAGATGACTTTGAGGATAAAGGGACCAAAGAAAGAGCTTTACTTAGACGATTGGTTGGGGCCTAGGAGATGAAATCACTTTTATTTTTTAGAGAGATTATTTTTTTTAATTTTGGAGGTTGGGGTGATATGTTTAGAATATGCCTTAAAATAAAGTGTTCCCCACCCCTGCCTATGATGGTTCATTCTCTACTCATGATTCTAAACCGGCCTGGTTTGGTGACAGGTGGATCCAGTTATTCTCAGGTTGGTAGGGTAGGCTCAGAAAAGGTATCTCAAAGAACCAAAAGGTTGGAAAGACCCAGGAAGGACTTAGAAAGAACAAAAGTTAGATGTTATAAAGAATGGAAGCCTTCAAGAAAGTACTTCTGGCTGGATAAGGTGGCTTATGTCTGTAATCACAGCACTTTAGGAGGCCCTGGTGGGAGGATCACTTGAGCCCAGGAGTTCAGGAAGAGCCTAAGCAACACAGCGAGACCATGTCTGTACGACAAATTAAACATTAGCCTGGTAGCACATGCCTGTAGTCCCAGCTACTCTGGAGGCTGAGGTAGGAGGTTTGTTTGAGCCCAGGAAGGGGGGGCTGCAGTTGATTGCATCACTGCCCTCCAGCCTGGGCAACAGAGTGAGATCCTGTCTCAGAAAAAAAAAAAAAAAAAAAAGCAAAAGTACTTCCTACAGGGTTAAAAGGACCAGGACAGTGAAATGTAATTTCCATCCTGAGATATCTTCAGAAGGAGTCTTTACCTCCTTGGGAGCAAAAATGGGAACACCAGCAAGATGCAAAGATAAAGGCTGAGATGGCCTCAGGAAGGTGGTTCTTTCACATTCACTTCTCGACCGTTAGAACACAGAATCCCCAATATCCATTTTCCATACTCAAACTAAAAGAAGTTAGAAAATAAACTGGCGCTTTAATGGGGAATGGGAGGAAGGGCTGTCCGGGCAGGAATCGGGTTAGGCTGTCAGAAGCGCAGCCCCCTGCGGGCTAAGTCGGCTCGGGCTTCCTGTATCTGGCTCTGCAGCTCGCGTGCAGCATCCTCGCAGTCATGAAAAGTGGCCACACGATAGCCCACAGTGCCCAAGGCATAGCAGCCAGCGGACACCAGCAAGTAGGCGGGCAGTGGCCACAGGACTTCCTGGCAGGACAAAGGCAGCTCCAGGCCCAAGGCTCCCGTGGTCAGGGCCGCCCAGGTGGAGCCCAGGATCGCCAGTCCCCAAAGCCACTGCGCTAATTTCGTCATGGTCACTGCGAGAAAAGAAAGCAAAGCTCCCCTGAGGAACAGAAAGGAAAAGCGCACCAAATTCACCCGACGCCCGCCCACCAGAGGGAGCATTTAAACCAGCCCTAGCCAGAGGGGAATCACCGATCCCAGCGGTTCTAACTTGAGCATCCGCAAAAGGTGGAAGGGTTCCTTCCATCTTGCTAACCCCTCTACATCTGAGACCCATTCCCCAGCTCTCGCCCTCTCCATTCAGTCTTCAATCCACACTTACTTACCTCTTGGCCCCGCGTCTCCCCTTCCCCGGCGGCCCGGATGTCTGCGTCCGGAAGTCCTCCCTGGCCCACGTTCTGCTTCCGCGCAGCCTTCTGGGAGTTGTAGTTCACATGGCAGCGCCCGGCGTACTCTTGGCCACCGCCTCAGTCTAGGCGGGGTCCAGCAGGCTGTGCTCCGCAAACGGCGAGCTGCGAGAGCTCTCGGCGATGCTTCCCCACCTTGGGCTACGCTCTAAGCTGGCGTGGGGCTTGTTAAATGTTGCAAACCATGGGAATATAATACAGTTCCCCTTAAACTCAATTCTCCAGCACTGAAATCTTCATTCACCTGTTCATTCATTCGAACATTCTTTTTTTTCTTTCCGTTCTTGACAGGATCTCTCTATAGTGCCTAGGCTAGACAGAGCTTTTTTTTTTTTTTTTTTGAGATAGAGTCTGGCTCTGTTGCTCAGGCTGGAGTGCAGTGGGGCGATCTCAGCTCACTGCAACCTCGGTAGCTGGGATAACAGGCACGCGCCACCACACCCGGCTAATTTTTGTATTTTTAGTGGAGACGAGGATTTCGCTATGTTGGCCAGGATGGTCTCGAACTCCTGACCTCAAGTGATCTGCCCACCTCAGCCTCCCAAAGTGTTGGATTACAGGCGTGAGTCACTGCACCCAGCCAGAACATTTCTTGATTACCATGATAGACTGTAGAGATATAGAAATGTCAAGAGATTCAACCCCTCCTTGGGTGGAGGAAGAAAGCAGGAGTCAGGGAAGCAGTTGCATTGACAACTAACCACGAAGCCTTGAGATTATTGTTAGAACAGAGGTAGTCATATTTTTACAAGGACAACCACCAATATAACATGGAGCCAGAGGAAGAAGGGCTCCAGGAGGCTGTGGGAAAAGGAAGGAAGGAAGGAAGGAGAAAGAGAGAAAGAAAGAAAGGGAAAGAAAGAACCGGAAAAATTACCCGAAGTGGTGGAGCTATTAGGGTATCTGGCTGAAGAAATTTCTAAGCAGCAAAGAATTCAAGAGGTGACTTGGGTTCTGTTAAAGGCATTCAATTTTTTTTTTTTTTTTTTGAGACGGAGTTTCACTCACGTTACCCAGGCTGGAGTGCAATGGCGCGATCTCGGCTCACCGCAACCTCCGCCTCCTGGGTTCAGTCAATTCTCCTGCCTCAGCCTCCTGAGTAGCTGGGATTACAGGCACGCACCACCATGCCCAGCTAATGTTTTGTATTTTTAGTAGAGATGGGGTTTCACCGTGTTGACCAGGATAGTCTCGATCTCTTGACCTCGTGATCTACCCGCCTCGGCCTCCCAAAGTGCTGGGATTACAGGCTTGAGCCACCGCGCCCGGCCAAAGGCATTCAATTTTTATAAGGAAAGCGGAGAATAAAAGTTTGGAAAATTCACAGCCTGACTATGCAATAGAAAAGAAAAACCCATTTTCTGGGGAAAAATTTGAGCCAGCTGCAGAAATTTGCGTAAGTAGTAAGGAGCCTAATGCTAATCCCCAAGACCATGGGGAAAATGTCTCCAAGCCAGGTCAGAGACTCAGGCAGCCCCTCCCATCATAGTCCCAGAGGCCCAGGAGAAAAAAGTGGTTTCATGGGCCTGGCCCAGGGTCCCCATGCTGTGTGCAACCTAGAGACTTGGTGCCCTGTGTCCCAGACACTCCAGCTGTGGCTGAAAGGGGCCAACATACAGCTCAGGCTGTGGCTTCAGAGGGTGGAAGCCCCAGATCTCGGCAGTTTCCATGTGGTATGAGCCTGTGGGTGCACAGAAGTCAAGAACCTGAGGTTTAGGAACCTCCACCTGCATTTCAGAAGACGTATGGAAACGCCTAGATGCCCAGACAAAAGTTTGTTGCAGGGGCGGGGCCCTCATGGAAAGCCTCTGCTAGGGCAGTACAGAAAGGAAATGTGGGGTCAAAACCCCCAAACATAGTCCCTACTGGGGCACTGCCTACTGGAGCTGTGAGAAGAGGGCCACCGTCCTCCAGACCCCAGAGTGGTAGATCCACTGACAGCTTGCACTGTGCACCTGGAAACGCTACAGACACTCGGTGCCAGCCCGTGAAGGCAGCCAGGAAGGAGACTGTACCCTGCAAAGCCACAGGGGCAGAGCTGCCCAAGACTATGGGAACCTAACTCTTGCATCAGCATGACCTGGATGTGAGACCTGGAGTCAAAGGACAGCATTTTGGAGCTTTAAAATTTGACTGCCCCACTGGATTTCGGACTTACATGGGCCCTGTAACCCCTTTGTTTTGACCAATTTCTCCCATTTGGAATGGCTGCATTTACCCAACACCTATACCCCCATTATATCTAGGATTTTTATTTTACAGGCTTATAGGCGGAAGGGACTTGCCTTGTCTCAGATGAGACTTCGGACTGGATTTTTGGGTTAATGCAAAATCAGTTAAGACTTTTAGGGACTGTTGAGAAGGCATGATTGGTGTTGAAATAAAAGGATATGAGATTTGGAGGGGCCAGGGACGGAATGATACGGTTTGGCTGTGTCCCCACCCAAATCTCAACTTGAGTATCTCCCAGAATTCCCACATGTGGTGGGAGGGACCCAGAAGGAGTTAACTGAACCATGGGCGCCAGTCTTTCCTGTGCTTTTCTCATACTAGTGAATAAGTCTCACAAGATCTGATGGGTTTATCAGGGGTTTCTGCTTTTGCTTCTCATTTTTCTATTTTTCTCTCACCACCACCATGTAAGAAGTGCCTTTTGCCTCCCACCATGATTCTGAGGCCTCCCCCCTATGTGGAACTGTAAGTCCAATTAAACCTCTTTTTGTTCCCAGTTTCATGTATGTCCTTATCAGCAACATGAACATGAGCTACTACAACAGGATACGGGAAAGACTTGACTTTAATATTTATATTTTAAAATGTATTTACTTACTTATTTGGAGATGAAGTCTCACTATGTAGCCCAGGCTGGACTCAAACTCCTGGGCTCAAGTGATCCTCCTGCCTCAGCCTCCCAAGTAGCTGATACTATAGGCTAGCTAAAATTTAAATGAAGCAGTGTTTTGATAGGTTCAAAGTAAGCATAACTTTAAGTGAAGGGATCAAGAAGAAGTCTGAGCTGAGGGTCCACTTGGAAATTACAAAGTTAAAATAAATGTAGAATGTAGTGTCCAAAACCCCACTATCTAGGCTGGGAACAGTGGCTCATGCCTGTAATCCCAACACTTTGGGAGGCCAAGGTGGGAGGGATGGCTTCAACCGAGGTACTGGAGACCATCCTGGTCAACATAGTGAGACCCTGTCTGTATTTAAAACAAAACAAGGGCCGGGCACAGTGGCTCATGCCTGTAATCCCAGCACTTTGGAAGGCCGAGGCAGGTGGATCACCTGAGGTCAGGAGTTCAAGACCAGCCTGGCCAACATGAGGAAACCCCGTCTCTACAAAAAACAAAAACGAAAACAAAAGACCTTCAGACAAAAGCTTCAGACATTGTCTGAAGCTTTGCACTCGGGTTGGAAACGGAGGCTACTTTTCTGTTGAAGTAATCCATGTGGCTCAGAGCTTCTGGCAGGAGTATGATATTCCATTCTCACTGGCTGATTTCAAATAGCAAAGTTTGTGACTATGATTTTAGAAAATGAGGTTTTTCAGCCTTATGTCCTTGATGTTAATTAACAAAAGCAGTTTTTACAGATTCACAGTCTTACTACAAACACAAATGGCTCAGCTGTGAAGAAAATTTTCACAGCCGTAATAATGTAAACACTAAGTATTGATTTAACTAAACATTGGAGCTGGGCACAGTGGAGTTGCGATCTCAGAACTTTGGGAGGCCAAGGCAGGAGGGTTGCTTGAAGAAATGTAGAGGTAAGTATCAGAAGTAGCTGAGAAACTTGAGCCTGGTTGTATATGCAGGTTGTATACTTAAGGGTTACAAAAGAGAAGCAGGGAATCGTTATTTTTCATCAAAAGCCTTGTTCTTTTTTTTCTTCTTCTTCTTTTATCTATTTTTGAGACAAGGTCTTGCTCTGTTGCCCAGGCTGGAGTACAGTGGTACAATCATGGCTTACTGAAGCCTCAACCTCCTGGACTCAAGCCATCCTCCTGCCTCAGACTCCAGAGTAGCCGGGACTACAGAAGTGGGCTACCACGCCCAGCCAGAGTGTGTGTGTGTGTGTGTGTGTGTGTGTGTGTGTGTGTGTGTGTGTG